AAGCGCGACATCGTCATCCGTTCGGATTGACACTGGTGGTGCGTCCCTGCCGTCGTCCATAAGCATGTAAGAGGGCCATTGGTAAGTCAGAGCTACGGCGGCGTCCTCGTTTATCCCCATTTTCTCTTTGGTCAGCTTCACCACTTCCTTGAACTCCATCCTTGAGCTGAGAAAAACTGCTTGGCTATTCCATGTGCGTTCCGTCAGAAAAGTCAACACTCCATTTCCGCCTTCGAACCATTTCCCCCTCACAAGCAAAACCATTTGTCTCTCCAACATCTACATTCACCAGAAAGAAAACAAACATTAAATAACTAACTACTAACTCAAAGTAGTCACGATATTCATCGAGGAGTAGTTATATTCATCGAGGAGTAGTTATATTCATCGAGGAGTAGTCATACCTTCGTAAATCTTCGTTGTAGACAACCCTAATAATGTTGTTTACTAGCGGAGGTTTAGGATGTTATGAGGTTGTGTCTATTTATGTGACCCACTACAGATCCTATGATATTTACCAATTCGCACAAGTCTATTTACGTGACCCACTACATATCCCACGATATTCACTAGACGACAATGTTTCAAGTTTGGAGAAAGTAGTTCATAAAGTTTACGTTGTTAGTGTTTCAGAAACATGGTAGCGTGTGTGTTTGTGTAAAATGGTGTGGTTCCATCGGGGGTCAGAAAAAACGATATTTTCTTTTCGGGAGCAAAGGGTACCTCGTAATTTCCACCTCTTTTTTTTCGTTGAATACTGTTATACACATAATTGACTGTCTTTCGTCGGTAATCTCTTTATTTGCTCTTCCAAACATAATATTGATGCAAATCACCTTTACATAAATTATGACAAACCACTTATTGATTTTAAAAGATTTCCATTATTTCAAAAGCAAATTGCGTTTGTGTTTCTGTATAAAAAAGATTACTAACCAGATTTCAAACGCAAATGATTGGAAACTTTTGTTGTTCACATTGTTGTTTGCGATTAACCAAAAGAAGGCTATTTACAATGAAAATCAAACTAAATACTTGACATTCTTAAACTGTTTTTGTAAAACCAAAATCCAACTTAATCTTGAAACCCACATTAAACATCAGACTTATCTTACGGAAACCCAAGATTAATGGCTGATAAATGAAATAGCTGTAATCTCTTAATTTTAGCTCATAATCGATGTGTATTTAAAGTTAAGAGAACTATTTCAGTAGTCATAAAGTCATTAGTCAATTATATAATCTTGAATTTCCATGAATCTTTATTTTCTCTCTATTAAACTCAACCAAATCTTTCATTTCCAAATTAAATGCCTATTTTATAAAGTAATTAAAAATAAATACATTTCTTCTTCGAGGGAACATTTCCCGCCAAATTTCTCTCACTAAAGCCCCTTCCTTCTCCAACCAGCCAGTATCTTTCTCTCTCTACCTCCTTCCTCTCTCTCCTTTGCCCAGAAACCCTAGCTCTGCACATCCATGGCTGCTGCAACTCCCAAATCGATCAAAACCCAAACTAACATCTATCGCAAATCGTATTTGTCTCCTTCTTCTTCAACATTGCTCACTCCCCAAACCCCAGAAACACTTACCCCTCTTCGCAGATCCGCTCGCCATGTTTCTCGACGGATCGATCTGGGAAATGGGCAAGAGAATATCGCCTCAATCAATGGTCGAGAGAGAGAATCGATCGAAGAAATGAACCTGATTCAAAAAAGGGAGAGAGCGCCCAGAAAACGGACCACCGATGATGATTTCGAAGCGAAGTTGAAGAAACCCGAAAATCTCACAACTCCGAAGAAGAAAAACGGTAAATCGAAGAAAGATTCATTAGTTTCTGAAGTTTCGTTCTCTCCTGTATCCCCAAATCGATCGGAGACGACGAAGAAGAGGAAAAAAACCGAAGAGAAGAAAACAAGTTCGAATAAGAGAGTCTACTACAACAAAGTGGAATTCGATGGTGTCGAATTCGAAGTCGGCGACGATGTGTATGTTAAGAGGAGAGAAGACGCGGTCTCTGACGAAGAAGAAGACCCAGAGATCGAAGATTGCCGGATTTGCTTCAAATCAGGTAGTAACGTAATGATTGAGTGTGATGATTGCTTAGGTGGGTTTCATTTGAAATGCTTGAAGCCTCCATTGAAAGAGGTTCCAGAAGGTGATTGGATCTGTGGATTTTGTGAGGTTCGTAAGTCAGGTCAGACACTTGAGGCTCCGAAACCACCGGAAGGGAAGAAACTGATGAGAACAGCGAGGGAGAAGCTTCTTTCTAGCGATCTTTGGGCTGCTCGGATTGAGAAGCTGTGGAGAGAAGCAGATGGTGTGTATTGGATTAGAGCTCATTGGTATATGATACCTGAAGAGACTGCCTCAGGGCGTCAAAAGCATAACCTGAAACGAGAGCTTTATTTGACGAATGATTTTGCTGATATTGAGATGGAATGTATACTCAGGCATTGTTTTGTGAAGTGTCCCAAAGAGTTTTCAAAGGCAAGCAATGATGGAAATGATGTGTTTTTATGTGAGTATGAATATGATGTGCATTGGCATAGCTTCAAGCGTTTGGCTGAATTGGCTGATGGAGATTCCGAGAGTGACCATGAATGGAACTCTAAGAAAGAGGAGGAGGAGATTGATAGTGATGATGAAGAGATGGAGTTTGATGATGATGAAGAAAGTGGCCGTGGAGATTCAAAGAGTAAGAGAGGAGGTTCAACGAGCGCAAGAGCTGCGAATTCTCTTAAAGGACGTTTCTTTGGACTTGAGAAAGTGGGAGCGAAGCGGATTCCTGAACATGTGAGATGTCATAAGCAGACTGAGTTAGAAAAAGCGAAAGCTACTTTGTTGTTGGCGACACGTCCCAAGTCTCTTCCCTGTAGGAACAAAGAAATGGAAGAGATCACTGCGTTTATAAAAGGTTCAATCTCGGATGATCAGTGTTTAGGAAGATGCATGTACATTCATGGTGTTCCAGGGACTGGGAAGACTATCAGTGTACTATCTGTTATGAAGAACCTGAAGGCTGAGGTTGAAGCTGGAAGCGTAAACCCGTATTGTTTTGTGGAGATCAATGGTCTCAAATTGGCTTCACCTGAGAACATTTACACCGTAATCTATGAAGCATTGAGTGGTCATCGTGTCAGTTGGAAGAAAGCTCTACACTCTCTGAATGAGAGGTTTGCAGAAGGGAAAAAGATTGGGAAGGAAGATGATAAGCCTTGCATACTTCTCATAGACGAGCTTGATCTTCTAGTCACTAGAAACCAGTCGGTGTTATACAACATTCTTGATTGGCCTACCAAGCCTAACTCCAAGCTGATTGTGTTGGGAATAGCAAACACTATGGATCTTCCAGAGAAGCTGCTTCCTCGGATTTCAAGCCGAATGGGTATACAGAGACTATGTTTTGGTCCTTATAACCACACTCAGCTACAAGAAATCATTTCTACGAGGTTGAAAGGAATCGATGCTTTTGAGAAGCCAGCTATTGAGTTTGCTTCGAGAAAAGTAGCCGCGATTTCAGGAGACGCAAGAAGGGCGCTTGAGATATGCAGGCGTGCAGCAGAAGTGGCGGATTACCGTCTGAAGAGTAACAAAACCGCTGCAAAGAACCAGCTGGTGATTATGGGAGATGTTGACGCAGCGATCCAAGAGATGTTTCAAGCACCTCACATTCAAGTTATGAAGAGCGTATCGAAACTGAGTAAGATCTTCTTGACAGCTATGGTTCATGAGCTTTACAAAACAGGAATGGCAGAGACAACCTTTGACAAAGTTGCAGCGACAGTGTCTTCTTTTTGCTTTAGCAATGGAGAAGCTTTCCCTGGTTGGGACATTCTTCTCAAGGTGGGATGCGAACTCGGTGAATGCAGAATCATACTCTGTGAACCTGGAGAGAGGCACAGATTGCAGAAGCTGCAACTTAATTTTCCAAGTGATGATGTTGCTTTTGCCTTGAAAGACAACAAGGATCTTCCATGGCTGGCTAATTACTTGTGAGTTTCTATTTATTGAATCCAGAAACTTTCTATAAATTGAAGACTAGTTTTGATTCATATGATTATTGGATGATCATCTGGCTTTATGTCTGTTTCTTTATTAAATGTGTAATCATATACAAAGTTATGTTCATCTTGTTTGTTTCTTAATTCATACAAAAACTCTCAGTCTCTCCATAGCAAAAAATATGAAAGTTATCTTGAAAATTATAAAACATAGAGAACTAACCTCTGTATACTGCCATGAGAATCTTTTGGAAGTGGTAGCAATTCTCATGTTTTCTATCGAAGATCCTTCCTTACATTGTTTGTTTCTGTAAAGGTGAAATAACCTCTTCCTTTTATCTGGAGAAAATGTAAAATCTGAATACTTTTTTCATAGTGAACTTATAAGCCTTACAAAAACAGAAAAATCCTACAAAACCTGCAGAGAAATAGAACAACTAAGACTTCCACAAGACGGGGTTATTTTTAACTGAAAATTGACCAGAAAGCTACTCACGACTACTCTAGCTCCTTTATTTTAGGCCAGAATTGTTGATCAAAACTGTTGTCTCTCGATACTATTAAATTAACACACACTTAGCACCAGCCAGTTCCTATGCCCTTATTTGTACTACCTCACGTTCCAAACACATTTTGACATATGTTGATATGACTAAAAAAATTATCATTATTATCATCAGCCAGAAACACATTTTGACATACTGTATGCTGATTTACCCATAAACTTAATAGTTAAATAAAATTTTAAACAGTTGACTATATATTTTATATACTTACTTTTTATAAAATATCTCACTTTACTTTTTTTTATTACCTCTTTTTGCCAAACTTTCACTTATGATATATATATATATATATATATATATATATATCTTATTGTAATTTAGAAAAATATATGTATCTTTCATGATTGTCATAGTATACATATAACTTATGAAGTCATGGTATTCTAGAGTGAAATAAGAATATTTCTTGTAATAATAACAAATTTTAAATTTTCGAACTCAAATAGTTGAAATAGTTGTAGAATATTAACATCTCAAGAGTTTGAGTGTACATTTTTTGTTATTCTAATGACGTACACCTATATAATGACATATGTTGATATGCTTTCATAAATTTTTGTTTGCTTTCAATAATTTTTTCTATATTACTACTATTCTCATTATAAATAATATATATATATATATTATATAATATAAACAAACGAAATATGAAAACTCGCTTTATAACACGAGTTCAAATAAGCAACACATTTTAATCAGAAAGAACTATTGGACTTGATACATTTGCATTTGCATCTGTATTTGCATAACATTTGCATTTGCATTTGCATTTGGATTTGGATTTGCATTGGCATTTGCATTTGCATTTGGATGGAGTGGGCTGGACAAGACTCATGATCAGTGGTGTGAAATTAAGTCTTGCATTTTCCCACCAAAATCCAATTGTATCACCTTCCTTGAATTCTCTTCTATCACAAATTGTACCCCATCCAGATAGCTTGAAGTTTCCTTCATCATCTTTTTTCATGACAAGAAATGTCGAAATATCACGATAATAATCGTGAACATCCACAATCTCTTCCTTGTTATCATGTGACACTCGTTTGGTACGAGCCGCACCCCGCAAAGGAAACAATTGGGTTTCCAGTAATGTTTTAGGGAACGTTATTGTACCACCTCCATCTGAATTTGTGTCTGATGCTGTCAACTTTATCGGAATGCTCCACGGTTTGTTTTGATCCAACATTGCCATCTTATCTTATGATGAGTACAGAAGACACACAAATATATGAAATTGAGTTTTGTAAGACTGATATAAAAGAATTTGTTTATGTTAAGACTATTTATAATCATAAAAAATTTGATGCATGCATGTGATTGTAATTATGAATTTATGATTGTAAAGCATGTAGGATCAGATCTTTAATACAAACTATCATTATAATCAATAATCATTAGCCAAAAACACATTTTGACGTATGTTGATTAACCATAAATGAATAATTACGTAAATTATAGAACAATGGACTATAAATTTTTACATACATTTTTTTATATTAAAAAAATATTTCATTTGCTTTTTCTATTACCTCTTTTTGCCAACTTTTCTTTTATATTTTCAATTATCTATTTGACATTGTAATAGTAAGTTAATGTGTGATTGTAATTTCAGTAACATTACATTTAGCGTTCATGATTGTCACTAGATTCATTATCATTCTTAAATTATAATATTTTACAAACTAAAAGTATATTGATCACTTTTAACATGTCATAATATTATAGGATATAGAGATTTTGCAATTCATTTGATTCTGACATTTGCTTGAAAACAATTATAATTAAAATTTGTGAAATATAATTTACCACAAAAATATTGATAATGGTTAATTATTGACTTGTCTACTTGAACATCGCAAAATCTTTTGGTTAGTTTGGTGGGAAATGTTTTTGTTTTGTTTTGTTTTGTCATTGGTTAAGAGTTACAACACCCTCTATATCATATTCTCTACATCATTTTCTCTTTCTTCCACATCATAATTCAACACTCACTAAAATTTTACTTCTACAATGATTTTGTTTAATAAAAGTATAACATTATATTCCACCAATTTTATTTCACATTTTTATTTTCTTTTATGTTTTAGTTTTTGTGATTACCTATTATAATAAAAAAAATTACAAATAATAAAATGAAAAATAGAGATGATTATTATTAAAACACATATAATGACCAAAAACAATTAAAATGCAATAAAATAAATTAGAAAATATAATGTTTTTAATTTTTTTATGTGTCCAAATCAAATTAAACAAGTTTCTATTTATAGAATATAAAAAATGATGAATTTTGATATAAACATATATTTATATATATAATTATTATGAAATAATTGATGTTAAATAATTGAGATGAAAAAAAAATTGAAAATCTCAGCGACCAATCAATTCAACTCATATGTCACAATATATATATATATATATATATTATCATACAATATATTTTTTCCCATTCAAAATCTGCCATATGTTAAAGAATGTTCCACTTATAAATTTTTCACGGTGTTGAAAAGTTTCAACTCTAATTTTGCCACATAATTTCGGACTAAAATTAAACAAACCATTGTAAGTGTTTAAACTGTTGACAAAATTTTACAACTGTTGAAAAAATTACCATTTTAATAATTCAACAAACAATTTAACGTTTCTATTTACAATAGTTTTGTTTAATAAAAATTAAACATTCTACCACACAACTTTTACTTCATATTTTTATTATCTTTTATGATTATTATAGTACAAATTAATAATAATTCTGAGTAAAATTAAATTAAATACTTAAAATTTTAAAAAATATTTTATATTTTAACTATGTTTTTAATTAATAAAAATAAAAAATAGAAATAATTATCATTAAAACAATTAAAATTATGAAAACCTAAAAATTAAATACAATACATGAATAAACATAAGAAAATCAGGAGTGGTTTCATGAACACCGCTCATACTAACAAGAACAATTTGTGTAGAAAATTTAGGAAATTCAATTGCTCCAACATTTAGAACAATTTTATTACCCGTTGGAGTAAGAGAATAAGGAGGTGTTTGAGATGGATATGGCATCATCAATCCATAATATGGACGATAGTTTAGAACAACTGACGGCATGAAAAAATTTGGTAAATAACTATAATTTGGTATATTTTGGGATTGATTTGAAGATTGGTTTGGAAAAAGATAATTGTTAGGATTTTGGTAGTTAAAAAGGTAATTAAAAGAATTTTGGTTTATATATTAACTAAATTTTTTAACTAACTAATTAACTATATATTAATTAAATTTTTTTTCTCACCCAACCAATTGATGACTCATGTCGTTTTTGTCTCTACTTTTTGGTTTTCAATTAATTGAAAACATTCAACAGAAATAAATTCACGTCATTTTTTTTTGTTTTCAACACACCATTTTATAGAGTCAACTGTTCAATAAATATATTCAACACTCTATTGTATAATCTTATGAGAGATTGTATTTATGAGTTTGCGTTGTGACTAGAAGAAATTCAATGCTACATGAATATCCGTAGATTCGTTATTGATTGAGCCTATTATATTTGGATATTATTTTATTTTGTTTTAGTAAAATCAGATATGATTTTTTTTTCCAAAGAACATACATACTCCCTCCGTTTCATAAAGAATGTCATTCTGACATTTTTCACACTTATTAAGAAAACTATTAAAAATACTATTTTGTCCTTCATTAATGCATTAAATAACTTTTTTTCTTTAATTAATACATTAAATTAATAGGGTCAAAACTGGAATATTATTTAAAATTCTGCATTGAAAATATAAAACGACATTCTTTGTAAAACAAAAATAAAACCTTAAAACGACACTCTTTGTGAAACGGAGGAAATACTATTTTTCGAAATCTCTCAATATCACTCGGTTTTATTTTCTATTCTCGATTCCATTTTAATTTGATTTTTATAAAAGAAAATATTTTACGATACTGTTGTGTTGGATAAAAAAAACAACTAAAACAAATCAGTTTTACATGGTTTAGTTCAGTTTAATTAAATTTAGAACCCAAGTCCAAAAGCAGAGCATACAAAAGTTTCTACCACACAACTCGGAGACAGAGTATTAAGCCAAAAGCAAAGAATCGACGAAAAGACATTTCTACCCCTATGGACTCGGTTTATAAAACAACATCACTTCCTCTTCCTCCTTTCTCATCTCCCGCGACGGCTAGGGTTAGAATTTTGAATTCCTTTAATTCAAACTAATATTTTCCAGAATCTGTTAACAAGTTTCGATTTTCTTTAATCCCTTAATTCTCCGATATCGACTCATCTACTTACTGAGCTTTAATTCTCCGATAACACATTTTCGTTTTTAATGGGTTAAATTCGCATTCTTAATTTTTTTTCTTATTAGAGAGAAGGGAGAGAAGAAGAAAATGGGAGGAGAAAACACCATTTTTAGAGAGCCTTCTCTTAGATAAATTAGGGCACTTCCTCGATGCAATCTCTGTTTCTCTAGTTCATGAGCAGCCA